CTCTTGTTGCTTCGAGCTGATCGAGGCCTTTCTCGCCCCCTCCTCCACTTTGGTTGTGACCGCCTAGCAGGGACCCCCGGCTGCTACCGCCACCGCCTCCGCCTTGACTGCTTGGGGTAGGGGCCTCGATCGTGAGTACGGCCGATGTAAGTCGGTCGTCGCCATCCAGTCTGTCGTGGTGGCCGGCGCCAGCTGCTCCACAGCGAGTGCGGGCTGACACGACGCCTCCAGCAATGGCGGAAGCACTGCTGGTCGTCGGCGTTGCCTGTGCCGCGGGGAAACAGAAAACACCGCGGTCACAAACAGAGTGCGGTGAAAATCCAAACAGAGCGCAGTACCGCAGGCGTCAGGCAATGCCGAATGTAGAGTAGAATAGCCGGCAGCTGTGCGCACCCGCTTGGGGCCTTGGGTAGGGCGATACAGGAGGAAGACGACCAACAACAAAACTGGCATGACGCATAAAAGCGAAAGGCAATCATAGCAACGAGGAAACAAGAACATGTTGCACGACGTGCCGGCAGCGGTTGGACGCTGGAGGATGTCCCCCTGTGGTCATCGACGGGTGGAAAAGAAATGCACAATAGAACCACCACAATGCCTACGAACGTCTACAAGGTCACACGCTTTCTAGGGGCTGTGATTGGCGAGAATTGTGTATCTCTTCTCCCGAAGAACTTGCACAGGTTGCTGCTCTTCCCGACCGTTATCGTCAACACTCCAGCGAGCACCATCGACCTCCACCCCGCCCAAAATCAAAACATTCGGCCTTCGGTAGCCTGCACAACTAGGTCTCACTTCAATCTCTAGAATGCTCCCGCCACTCTCCTCGCCGCCACATGTGGAATACGCCTGATAGAGCCCTCGCGCCGCACGTGAACACACGCCAGCTTGGAGCGCGCCACGCAAATTGGTAAGATTGCCGTTTGGTAGGGGGCACCGCGATGAGTCACGGGGCCCCTCCTTGGTGTAGGAGCTGCCCATGTTGAGCACTCCCTCTTTCGTCCGTGTGAAGGACGGTCGTCTACCTCTCGTGAAGTTAATTGTCTACATCACCAAAACAGTCTGTCCCGATAACGAAGTGGCTTAGGCCGGAAAGGCTCCAGCGTTTTTGCCCTCGAGGGAAGTCACATCGGGATGAGCTCTGCCGGAGATGAGATGCCCACTGCTGCGAGCGGAGAACAGATCCGCTCGCCGGTGGAGGAGGGCCGCGATGCAGAGATTGCAAGTTTGCAACGGCAGATTTCGCAATTGGCGGCCCTGGTGGAGAAGTCGTGGCGATGGTTATCGTGATTTATGTGGATGACATTTTGGTGGCTGGGTTTGACGAGGATTGCGAGGAGTTGCTTGCTTCTCTCAACAAGAAGTTCCCCACCAAAAATCTGGGAGGATGCGAATGGTTTGACGGGTGTGCCATCGCGAGAGATGTAGAGGCTGCGACTCTTAAAATCTCGTAAACCGCGTACATCGACAGCATGGTGAATCGCTTTGATGTGCAATCGACCTCCCGCATCCCTGCTTCCCCTGGTGTCGACCTAGGACCGAAG